CTGATTTACAGGCTGATTTACAGACTGACTTACAGACTCTTACAGACTCTTACAGACTGATTTACAGGCTGATTTACAGACTGACTTACAGACTCTTACAGACTGACTTACAGACTCTTACAGGCTGACTTACAGACTGACTTACAATCTCTTACAGACTCTTACAGACTGACTTACAGACTCTTACAGACTCTTACAGACTGACTTACAGACTGACTTACAGTCTCTTACAGACTCTTACAGACTGACTTACAGACTCTTACAGGCTGACTTACAGACTGACTTACAGTCTCTTACAGACTCTTACAGGCTGACTTACAGACTCTTACAGGCTGACTTACAGACTGACTTACAGACTCTTACAGACTGACTTACAGACTCTTACAGGCTGACTTACAGACTGACTTACAGTCTCTTACAGACTGACTTACAGACTCTTACAGGCTGACTTACAGACTCTTACAGACTGACTTACAGACTCTTACAGGCTGACTTACAGACTGACTTACAGTCTCTTACAGACTCTTACAGGCTGAGTTACAGACTCTTACAGGCTGACTGCACCATTGTACGACACTAGGAGGAGAAAACAGAGATGTTTACAGCGGTATTGTTCAGAGGGGCTGCTCCCTGGGGTCTGTGCTGCAGCTGAGGCCATGGGAAGACCACGAGACACGGTCATTGCTCTGAGTATGGTAAACATTTCACACGTCACAGCGGCTGCGCTGTTAAATTCATTAGTCGTCCGTCTCATGCACCGTGAGGCCAGAGGCAGCGGGAGCATTGTCCAAACAAATACTGCAGTGATGCAGCCGCCATATCATAACAGTCAAACCATACCACCAAACATGGCAACACACTGCTGCTCCTCTGCTGTTTGGGAAGAGACGGCCCCACACATTTACATTAATATGCAGGAGCAGCAAGGAAGACAGATGCTGGAAAAACATCTGTGGCTGTGGGTGTGACCTTTAACGATGTATTGTGTACTGTGAGTACGGACGGTGGAGAGCAGGGAGCTGAATGATGACAGGATACCAGAGGAGGACCCTGAGGATGGACAGACAGGCTTTGGAGTTTCAAGATAAGAGTGTGAGTGGTGCTTATTATTAATGTCAACAGTACGGAGGTTTGAAGCCGAGAGTGTTGGTCCAGCGTGATGCCAAAGTATTTGCTTGAACCAACTTCGCTGTCTGACTGTGACAACACAGAAACCTGAACACTCAGGTGTCATCTCCCTCAAACGTAATCTGTTACAGCCTGCGGTCTGTGTGCGAGCCTGAATATCTCCAACACGTTCAAGTGTCGTTTTCCTGTGCAGACCGCTCCTCTGTGTGTAGGTCAATAATGCCAGAAGTCAGAGGAGGAAAGCGTGTTTGCCTAACATGTGACTCTCTTCCCTTTCTGATAAGCAATCGCCGCATTTACTGTGTTGAAGCCACCTGTGTCACATCCAGGCTTCTGGCAATAAAGGTCGAGCAACTCCAAAGTCCAACATGCTGTTACTTAAAAAGGATAATACACTAACACCAAAACCTTCCATCAATCAGCTCAAACAACAATGCAGAAGTGAATTATTATTTTAAAACAAACATAAAATTTGTGGTAAAAACTTTCAGAATAAATGTTTTGCTGTTTTCAAAGTAAGGGAGGAGGAGCTGAATCATCTCACAGGGAATTGTCAGAAATAATTAGCGGGTAATCCCACCTGAGTTTGCTGTTGCCTCGGTTGTAGCTGAAGGATGCTGTGCGGCTGCTGAGGGAGACGGGAGTTTTAATTACAGACTCCAGGGATGGACTCTTCCTCATAAGGCTGTTAGGTTTCAGGTCTTCCCCGCAGCCCGACATCTTATCTGGGGGATTGAAGAAGGCGACAAGGGGAAGGAGACAGAACCAGATGGATCATTATAGACTTTATAAAGCACATCTGGTTAAGTAAGACTGCAAGAGAAGTATGGGTAAGGTATAAACATCCAAGAACAGTGCATGAAAACAGAAACAGAAGAAATGGAAATGGAAAGTGAATTCATGTGTGTAGACGTGTAAGAAATGACTGTGAATAACCTCTGCCTTTAGTTTTCAGCCTAGTCTTCATAACACTCAAACTGAGGTCTCTGTCTTGGCAGAGCAAGTCTATACTTTAACCACTACCTGTGCAAAGACACATCTGAAAAGCACTGAGCAGAGAAATCTAAAAAAAAAAAAAAAAAAAAAAAAAAAATCAGTTTCACAAAAGGCCGGCACTGAAATAAGATCAGGAGTTTGTTAAAAATCTGCACTTTGATGCTGAGGTGAGTGATTATGTCTCAGCAGGCTCCTAAAGGAAGCAGCTCAAACACCTGCTGACGGTAGATGAGCTCCTCACCATAAAATCATAAAAATTACCCACAAAAACAAACGTGGACGGATGTTTGCATATAGTAGTTCCTCTTCATTTAACTTTCTGTGTGGGCTAATTTCACTCGACATATCGGCCTTACTCATTCCTGACTCATAGCAGGACTTTAGCAGCGAGGCCCTTTATTTGTTTCTGTATGACTGATAAATGAAATATGACTTTACATGTAAATGAAACACCTGAAACCGTCTGCGTCACATACCGTGAGGATGAGAGAATTCTCCCTGATTGATTCTTTTTTCCAATGTCTTTGATAGCGGCTTTATGTACGAGTGTCTCTGAGGGAAGGTAAAAAAAGAAAGAAAGAAAGAGAACAGTCAATTGACAACAATTTCACACACAGGAAGTCTTTAATTTTGACAGGAAAATGTCTTGGTGTGTACCTGGATGGGGGAGACAGCAGCAGCAGGCGCGGTGCGAACAGGAATCCCACTCAGCGGGCTCCTCGGTGAGGAATGCATTTGAACTGTGTGACCTGGTCCATCTGAGAGATCGAACAACAAACAGCTCTCATTGGTTACTGCATCAAAAGATCATTTCTACTAAATAATTAACACATTCATTCTGAGACTTAATGATGCTACAGAAGAGACGGGCAGTGTATGGGAGCGTCTCTTTGTTTAGATCACAGACGGACACTGTTCTTCCAGTACAAAAATAAATAAATTACAGCTGTTTGTAGCTTGGAAGCAACGAAAGGTTGTTAGAAAAAGGCTGTAACATGTCTTCACTACATCTAAAGATAATACAAAGAGTAAAAGAAGCAATGAAGTGACTGCAGAGTTAGAACAAGGCCTGTAGTAGAGAGTGATGCATCAAAAGTGAAAGGTTTGTGGAGTCATTATCAAACACTGTCAAGTTGTTTCGTTTTTCTCTGATCAAACACTGTACACACTGTGTCCACTTTATTAGGTACATCTGTACCAAACACCTGTACAGTCCAAAGCAATCCAACACAACTGCTCTGCCATAAAGCCGACCTTTATGATGCCTGTGACGCTCAGTTTTTGTTGGCTCAGTCACAGAGGTGTTGCAATGAATTAAATGTTTTACCACAGAAGTCATAATTGGTGTTGGTGTTGTACTGAACTGCATTATATTATCTCGTGTGAGAGTGGGAAGGACGAAGGAAGGAAAAAAAAGAGAAATACTTATAAATCAAAACACCTTAACATCAGTTTTATACACTTTTGACGTCATGAAAAACCAAACATCGTGAGCTCTGTACGGATCGATGTTGCAGCAGAGCAGTTGCATTAGATTGTACGAGTGCATTTAAAAATAAAAGAGGCCACCGTGTGTATATTTGTTTCCATCCATCTATTCATCAGCTCTTCCTGTTTATCCTTGAGAGTTGTGGCAGGACTGGAGCCAATCCCAACTGACAGTGGCTGTTATTAAAATTAAAGTGCTGGTGTTACTGTTTGTATTAACACTAATGCATTTGGGAAATCTACTGTACAATAAAAACAACAACAAAAAATGTGTTCACCTGACAAAGCGAGCTACAGCTGTATTTAAATCAGCTCTATTAATAATTAGAATATGCTCTATTATATAATAAATACTGAACTTTCTGCAGATTTACTGATTCCACTGACAGACACAGAAACATTCTCCAGGTCACTTCAGGCCACACAGTCCGGCACAACTGCACAGGACGTTGGTCCAGAGAAAATGACAGATATGCAGCAGCTGCTCTCCTCTGTAGTTACACTGCTGCAGTGAGGGCCTGCGTGTGCGTGTGTGTGTGCGCATGTGTGTCGAGGTGCTCGCTGCTCACTCTGTCCAACAGTATCAAAGGACTTAATGAGGGATTTGACAGTAGCTCCGGGCTCCGAATCGGCATCTCCGCTGGCGTCGGCGGCTGAGGTCGGGATCACGGAGATGCCACACCAGTGACGGCTGTTATCGGAGTCGGACACCCTCACCTCATCACCTTGGGACCTGGCAGACAAAATGAACATAGGTTGCTGTGTAGAGACGTACACAATACACACAAGAGACAGCATGTGAACTGGGCTTTCAAAACCTTCACTTCACTACTCTTTCGTATGAGATTACCTCCTGATTGGAATGAATGTATACTGACGAGATCATGTGATCACAGTTTGATCTGCAGAGCTGTAAATAAGCGACGACCGGCTGCAGATAGTCAGATCTAAATTAGGAACAAAAATCTGAGCAATCCACTCATCAGGACACTTTTGCCCATTAGCCCTGGTGAACATTGGACTACAGGCTCCAGAGTAAACAAGGATGTGGAGTCTCTTTATCAGTGATGGATGAGGAATGAATGACAAGTGAGGAATTTCTGTCTTAAACTCAACTCACCTCCAAAGAGTGAAGACAGAGAGAGAGAGAGGGAGAGAGAGAGATACACAACCACAGATGGACTGGTGTAATTTCATTTATTCATTGTCCTAATGAACATCAGTCAAACAGACGTACAGTACACTGCTTTGGAAACCAGTCACAAGTTCTTTCTGAGTCTTTCTCCGAAGAATAAATTAACAGCACATTCACTGTATTGTTCATTAAATGGCTTCACTACAGACAGAAAATGACCTTTCACACTGTTACCACCTCTTCTTTTTCTCCATGTTGTTGTTTTTTTTTTTTTGGGCATATCCAAATGTTTACATGTTGAGCACCAGTACCATCATCTGGTCGAACAATATGGCTTTTAATTAAAAAAAAATGCACAAATTGAATATCTGTGATAAAAGTTGGACTTTTAAGTAGAACCTGAGATCCTGAAACCGTGAGCCATCGTGTTACATCACAGAATGTCCTGTAAGGGTTTGGCTCAATCGTGATAAAATGACCGTGTGATAAGTGACTTATCTTACCACATCAAAATTAGTGACATGGCAGGGTTTGAGTATCTGACAAAATAAAAAGGATGTTGAAGATAATCTCTAAATATATTTAACAGAGTGAAATCTAGATCGATAGGGAGGAAGCGTCTGAGCCTCACGCAACCTCTGACATTCAGATAAGTCAGATGTGGTCGATTCTATAATCAACCAAACAGAGGTTTTCAATCCATACAGTGGGGTCCAAGGGGTCTCAGACTTTTGGACCTCACTGTATATCTATTGTCTATCTATAATTTGTCAGTAAAAGTGGAATGTTAGAAACTCATCATTTGACATCTGCTTTGAAAGGATAAAAATAATCCCTCCAGGAACCTGCGGCACAGTCTTCTTGGTCTTTGAGTTAAAATGGACCGTCAACCTTCTGGTTGGTTTGAGGTGAGTAAAAATGACTCTGAGGTACAGCTGTCAGTGTTTGTGGCAGTAATAAAAATCTAATTTTTTGGCAGTGCTCTGTTTCTGCCGGCACGGATATCGCTCTGCTTATTTTATCTGGCAGAAAGACATCATAATAATAATACGGTATGCATTACCGTGTAAATGTAAGATAGACAAAGAGAGCAGAGGATACACAGAGGATCCACATGGAAGTCACCTGTTTGTGGTAATTGTGTGTTCTGTAGTGCCATCTACTGGCTAAATGTGACACCGCATTCACTTTTACTCCAACTACAGAACAAAGACCAAACTTTAGTTTTAAAGTAAAGTGAAGTTTTGTTTTTACAGATCAGATAAATGTAAAGTTTTAAACTGAACAAAGAGGTCAAAGTGACACTAATTTGACTGATACAGAAATAGAAAGAAAAGAGTCACCTAGTTTTTGAGTCATGTTAATTCTGCTGCGTTTTTCTTGCCTTGAAACATGGATTTTCTGTCTTTGTCGGCAGAATGATGGGAACCTTCACTGTTTCAGTTTCACCACTGGCTGAACATTTACCAGTATTTTTCATACTTCATCCTGTTTTGTTTTTTTCTGTCACAGGTCACACACTTCCTATCTTCTCAACTCTCTAAAAAGGCACAAAGCAGCTTTGCACAGTATAAAAAGGAGAGTCTCTCAAACATATGGCATTTCTTCAACACAAGTCGAGAAAATTACAAACATAAAAGAGTACATTCATCGAGAAATAAAAACACAGTATTATTATTCAACAGGTTCCAAAATGTAAAGAGAGAAATGGAAACCAGACTGTTTGTGTCTGCACTGCTCACTGTGGCTTACAAAGAGACTGGTTCACCACGTTACATTTTGAAAGACACAGAAAGCCAATAAGTGCAACAATAACACTGTCTTCACTGGTGCTGAGGTGAGGGCACTTCTCTAGTGCCCCTCTACTGCCGTCTTGGTATCAAAAGTGGCTCCGGTGCTTATTCTGCAAAGAAGAAAAGAAGGAAGATGAACGACTGTGAACAACGACTGCATAAAGACTGTTGTAAACATCTACATGTGCATCAAACATGTGCAGCAGAACTAGGGACTTTACATTTCTTCTTAACATCGTTGTTATGAAATGCAGACCTCTGGGCACTGTTGGATTCTTTTAAAACCGCTCCATGCATACCTCATTGGATTAATAAGGTCACTCATAATGTCAAGTGTGACTAAATCACCCGGTGATGAAGACGCTATGCAAATGTATCTGAAGCAGACGATGCATAGCATGAGTTTAATCCAGTCATGCCGTGCAGACCATCCTGCTATTTAACCAAAAAAGTAGGAGGGTTATTCATTCAAAGAACAGCAGGTGGCACCAGATACATCTACAGGAATGGCAGGTTTTAAAGGACCAGGCAAAGCAAATCAAAGAGGTAAAGACAGTCCTGAAGGTGCAGTCAGCCAGCATATGGAGAGACAGACAGAGTCAGACAGGCTGAAGCAACAACACGAAGCCAAACACAGAGAGGAAGGTCAGTGAGCAGCAGCAGCAGCACACAGGGCTGAGAGAGGGCTGACAGGGCAGGGAACTCACCTGGACTTTACATAGGGAGGCTTGTCAGAGGGACATCTTTGACAGAGTCATCACAGGGAGCTGCTGGAGGTGGGGAGCGGACGGAGCGTAACAGCTAATCTTGGGGAAAGTTTGCTGATTTAGCCATGGTCTAAAACCAGTAATATACTGTATATGTAATGTACTATATTCACCAGGACTACATGGAATTTGAACAAGACATATTTGGTTTTAAACCAAATATTACAATCTTTTACAAACTGAAACTGCTCTAATGAGAGGTGTGAGGTGATATCGTGTGAATGACAAGTAGAAATCATTTAGAGATCATTCGCTTGCTTAAAGAATTACACCATGACTGGCCACACAGATAAACAGAGAGCTATACAGAAGCAGGTCTAGACTTTGCCACAGGTATTGACCTGGCGTGATAATGAAAGACAACACTGTCAAAAACACCATGGCATCTGCACGCTCAAACACTTATATACATATTACTCACACACAAATCAATGCCACGCGCTTTATATATACATCAACCACATTACTGCATGGCCACAGTGCAACAACACTACATGAAGTCTTAAAAAGCATGATACAGTTGTGTGCAACATTTTCAGAGAGGACCGCGTTACACTGGCTCCAGTGTCGGTTTGTAACACACTTGGATCAAAGCGGCGTCGAGCACATCTGCTTTCTCACATAATAATAATCTCCTCTAATAAAATATGCAGTAGTTTATTGTGAAGTATGAGGTTTGAATGTTACTACAGGGCAATGGTCAGTGTGGAAGAGGGAGACAGAGAGGGCAGCAGCTTAAAGGAGTAGAATACACAGAGGGAAATACCACAGGAGACTGCTCATTTACCACCAGAGTCTGCCAAATCCCAGGGAGCGAAACTCTCAAACACCAAAGATCTCATCTTGTGAAATACCAAGATATGAACTAAATGATTCTCTCCTGCTTTGATACCAGATAGGAATTTTACAAACCTCTTAAGCAAGAGATTCTTGGGAGTTAAAATTATAATATATTGCTGTTGGCACTTCTTGTATAAAACATGGAGGATATGGCAAGACTCTGGCAGGTATCTCATCTCCACATTGTGTTGAGAGAGAAAGGAACTGCAGCCCGATGCTAAACGAGGGGAGCCCAGGGAGGGGTGGGGTTTGGGGGGGGCGTGGGGGCGGGGGTGGGGGGGTGGTGGTGGTGTAGTATGGTGGAGATGGTACCTGACTCCCTGCAGGGCCTCTAGGTCTGCAGAAAGCTTCGCGCTGCGATCCTGCTCCTCCTGCAGCTGCCTCCTGAGTGCACGCAGCTCCTGCTGAGCCTCCACCTTGATGTCATTGGCCACCACCACTGCCGTCTGGAGGTCCGCCTGGAACCGGCGCCACTCCTCTTTTTCATCCTGAAGACACAAACACATGGCTGTATACTCTACAGGTAGATGCAAATATAAACACATACATGCAAAGTCATAGAGTCAGTAATCATCAGCTGACACAGGAAATGATTGTGAACACTTTGGATTTAGTTGAATGTCAGCATTAAAAAAATAAAGTCTACCAATAAATAAATGAAACCTGATAAAGAAATGATTCACAAGCCATTTTAGTTCCTCGTGTATTTACTAAAGACACTGGTAAAGCATTTACATTAGACTTTGTATGACTGTTTTCCACATTCTGTTAACAGCAGTTTCTACTTCTTCAATAGAGATCTGTGGAATCAAAACATTATCTCAAACCAAATTTCAGAAAAAGAAAGTGAAAAACTCCCGAGGCTAAAAAGAACCGTCTCTGAACCAAAACAGACACTGGAAAAAGAACTGCAGATTTCTCTCGGCACTGAGGTAAAATATGTGGGTCTATATTCAGCGTTGTAAAGGCAAAGATCAGCACAGGGCACGTCACAGTTTTTCTTTTGGCATTATAACCTCAACATCAAAGGCTTGTACTGGATGCTGTTTTCTACTCAGGTACCTTGATTTCTCTTGGGAATTTATGTCTTTTAAACCTGGAATTTACTACTAGGTTTTTAAATTTTCAGCATCTAGTAAGACTTGGGTGTCCATGCATCAACAATCAGGCAAATACAAGAGGAGATAAAAGGAGATAAATGGCCATGTGCAATATCCAAATCGCAGGAGCTGCTTTTTTTTTGCCCCGGCCCACAAATCTCATTCTTCAGATGTAAAGGAACGTGTTTGTTTGGTACAAGATCAAACAAAAAAAATCACAATCTAAAACAACTACAATATGATTGTTTTGCACATCGTTCAGCCCTAGTATCAGGTGAACTCGATAATGTCCGATATTATAAAACAAAAAACACCTAACAGAAGCGATGTTCAGAGAAGAATACCATGGAGACAACCAGTGCCTGCCAAAACACACACTCACTGAACAGCCTACCTGCATGTTCCACAACGCTACTGGAACAATACTCGGTGGAAAGATTCCTCCAAGGTCGAATATTTTGGCACACAGACAGGGAAAAGCTGAGCACTGGAACATCATCCTGACCTTAAAGTGCTAATCCAACTAAAATGCATTGTTTGGGTGTTACTAATTCGCCATGTAGGGATGATGGATGGCTGTAAAACAGACGGTCACTTGGATTCAGAGAGTGTTGTGGCAGAAAAGGCCATTAAAACTTCCATGTTCATCTTTATACTCATTATGACACTGAGCGTTTCGCCGCAAGATGGCTACTGCCCCTGTGTCACACTGCTCCTCCTCACAGCTCTTCAGCCCCGTCAGAGGAGGCACATTTCATTTCTAAGTCAGTTTTGTTTTTATTAAACGTCTGAAGGTAGAGAGAGAGAGAGAGAGAGAGAGAGAGAGAGAGAGAGAGAGAGAGAGAGAGACAGGAAACGAGAAGGGAGATGTTGTTACACATGTTCAAAGTTCGATCAGATCTCAGGATGTCACAATCACATGTTGCTTGACGAAATGACCAAAGTGAGTCAGCAGGTCATTTGACCTTTTGAAACTTTCTTTTATATCATCTTTAAAATAAACTGAACATTTTTTGCTTTGCTCACAGTTGGTTTGTGTATTCAGCCTGAAACGCTTTAACGACTGATTAAAAAATGAATCATGTCACCACAGATGTTATAAAGCAGCCACATGGGTCTGAATGTTGAAGCTCTCTTACCTTCATCTGTCTACTGAAGACTTTCAGTTGTCGCTCTGCTTCAGCTTTCTGCTCCTCCAGCTTTTTGGCAAGATCTGCAAAGACAAAGTCGAGGTTTTGAGAATCTCTCCCCAACCTCTGCACTGTAGACTAGAGTGTAGATCAGGCAGAAATGGTGGAGATACAGCAGCCAGTCTAAAGCGTAAAGGCTCATTTACCTGCAGTAACAAGAGTTAGATCTGTTTAGAAATGTTTCTGGTAGCAATCGTAACGGTGGAGCAATCTGATCTGATTCATCAACAGTTTGAGGACATACAGTACAATGTGTCCAGTCGTATTTCCCGACTGCAGTAACTGGAAGTCAAAGACAGATGTGTTACAGTGTCCACTAATTTTGCATCTCATTGTCAGGTACAATGCTACAGCTGCAGCCGCCGTCTCATCTCGCTGCGCTGCAGGACAGAGTTCAGCAGATCCTTTGTCCTCACTGCCATCGGGCTGTTTGACACCTCAGCCATGTGCACCACTCATCAGATCTAAACTGCATATACTCTATCTATCTATCTATCTATCTATCTATCTATCTATCTATCTATCTATCTATCTATCTATCTATCTATCTATCTATCTACATGCAGTTTCCAGTTTATAAGGTTAGTTATATGGTGCACCTAGCTTAAACTAGCACAGTTTAATTACAACAGCCCTGTCTCAAATGTATGAATGTTATAATGTTTGGTAATGAAGGTGTTTCTAATATTCTGTCCACCCCATCGATATAAATAAGAAGATACTAAACATCAGAATCACTGCCAGTGAAATGAACATACTCTCCATGTCCAGGACGGCTTGGTTGGTGTGACAGTTGACGGCCCTCTGCTGCTCCACCTGGTCCTCCAGTTCAAAGATGGTCTCCTTCAGCTCCTTCACCTGGTTCTCAGCTTGGATCCCGGCCTCCTCCAGGGAAGTCACCTGGCTGCCGAGCTCCTGCTCCCTCCTCTCGGCCCACTCCTGAACCTGCTGGCATTTGGCCTCCACCTGTGTACGTGTGCACATTTGTGAAATGGGTTCAAACAAAGAGGCAATGTTTCATGTTAAAGTGATCACTGGCTGTTCTGATTAAACGGAAGCACTTAAGTCACCTGTGGTTGAAGAAAAGATAATTTATGATCTTCCAGACATGTTCATGGAGTTTTTCTACATCCCTATATTCCCAAACATTAGTAAAGATGCTGTGAATAAAAAGGTTTATGAAACGGCGTCACTGAGGGCTGGATGATGAGGAAACCACTCACACAAATGTAATTCAACCAGGCTAAATTATGTTATGGTATTTGTCTGATATGTTAAACTGTTTAGTCTGACGAAAACAAACCATTAGTTTTAATTTACTGACAAGCAGTAACAAAGTAAAAGTAACCGTGGTGAATCTAATTAGCCTTAATACGTTGCATGTTTTGCAATGACACAGACTGCAGATTAATACGTCAGTGTTTCCCAAACATGGGATCTACTTGGCGGCCCGCCCAGGCAGATTAGGACCCACCCAGGTAGATAAAGTCATTCGGTTTCAATTTAGGAAAATCAGTAGAACGCCTTGTTTCACTTTTTTCAAACTCTCTGGCCACACAAGTTGCAGAGTGGAGACGAGCCCTTTTCTCTTTTTCCTTTTTTTAAAGTAATTTTTTTTTGGCCATTTTATGCCTTTATTAGATGACGGGATAGAGGAGAGTGACAGGAAATGGGACAGAGAGAAGGGGAATGACATGCAGCAAAGAGTCGGGCCGGCCAGCAGTCAAACCAGCATTTGCACCCATGTGGTATGCCCCCTAACCACTGGCCCTTCTCTACGCACAGCTGCTCAGCTCCAGTCTACTGGTAACGTGCATGCGAGTTTTTTTTTTTTTTAGACATGTGAGGCGTTTAGGCGACATTTGTAAATTGTAGTTAAAGAAAATAACCTGTTACATTCTCCACCTCTAAACTACATGAGCCTCTGCATGCACCGCGGTCACATGCTGTCCCACCCACCACCACAAGTAAATTACCCTCCCCAACACCGTACAGACCGTCTCACAAGACATTTTTTTCACCCTGACTTCTTCATCTGTCACTCAAGTTCTTAAAGTTCTGGTTTTCAGTGAGTGTTTGGCCAGAGTGTAAACAGATGTCATGTAAGGACTCATGGAAACAAGAGTTCAGCACCATGTGTCACTCTCCAACTATTGAAGCTGAAGTCAGTTCACCATGATGACTGCAGTCGCCCTGAGAGATGAGACGGCACAGCAGATCTCTGTGAGGATAATATGCTAAACAAAGTAAATGATGTAGTTATGCAGGACGCTCTCCAGCTGACACCATGTGGCTCTGATGGATTAAGTTGTTTGTGAGTGAAGTTATGTCGTGGCCTCACCCTCACACCCACACAGCAGAGGACAGGAGTGTGACTCAGAGGGTCACCCATTGGTGAACCACCCTACTGTTGGCACCGCTGTCATACTCCAACAATGACGACATCACTAAGCTGACGGCGACACGCCTCGCTTCGGAGAAAACATGATCCAAAACGACCCCAAAGCTACACCTCTCTGGTATCCGTGGTGTTGAAGGGGAAAACCAAAGTGACGACTGAGAAACATATGAACACAGTTTGAGTCAATGTGCTGTGGTGGTGAAGAAAGGTTCCCAACACCAGCTGTGAAGCCTGTTTAATGGTCATGTTCAAACCATCAGGGCAGATGTGTGTCACATTCAATAGGCAGTGACGGAGCCAAGAGTTATAAAAAATGTCACGGTCGCCCGTTTGATTCACATTCTTTAATCATTAGCATCAGTGATAAACTATTACCAGACAAATAACTGACATTTTAGTCTCTTAGTGTTATTCCTGTTTCTGTACGAGTGAACTGTCTCTGCTTTTTGTAGTTTACAGTAAACGTGGACAGAGAGATTGTTCTTCAGGGAATCCCTGAAAGCTTCGTCAAACACAACATGACTCATGAGCTAATGTCACTAATGTTTTGAACTTGTGCACACACCACTTAGTACAATTACACTTAGTCACAATAGAAGCAACCAAGTGTAAAATACAGAGACGTTCTCTGACCAGAGAACTCTCCAGATTTAAATAAACTCATGTAAATACAACAAACACAAACAAACAACATGTTATATTCAATGATAAATACTAATGTATTCTGACTGAATTCCAAACTGTAAATATTTTTCAAACTGCAAAACATGGAAACTGAGTTGTAACCTTGCATCCCTCCTACCTTGGACATGGTGGCTCGCACGTGCTCGGTCTCGGCCTGGGCCTGTAGCAGCTCCTGCCTCAGCTCAGTGAGCTCCACTTCCAGCCTGTCTCTCTCGGTGTGGGCTGTCTTCAGCAGGCTCTGCAGCTCAGTGCTGTCACTGGCACTTTGCATGGCCTTCAGTTCACCCACCTTTTGTCTTTCAATGTCCACCTGCGCCTTCAGTCTACTGTTTTCCAGCCTGAGACAGTCAGCTGTCGCCTTCTGCTCCTCTGCAGCCTGTGCTGCCTGACCTCCGGCCTCCAGCTCCCTGTCCAGCTGGGCCTGAAGCCTGTTCATCTCCTCTCTGAGGCAGTGCACCTGACCCTGGGCCTCCTGGTGCTCCTCCTCCAGAGCTCGCAGGCTGCCTGTCAGCTGCTGCTGGATGTCCACCAGCTTCTCCCGTTCAAAGCGTGAGCTCTCCACCAACTCGGCGTACCTCTGCTCCAGCTCGGCCAGCCGAGGCCCTTGGCTGCCCAGCTCCTCCTCCTTCTGGGCCTGAATTTGGGCTTGCTCCTGAAGTCGGACAGCCAGCGCCTCATTCTTCTGGGCCAGCACCTCCAGACGTTCTCTCTGCTGTTGAAGTGAGGTCTGCAGGAGGCGCTTCTCCTCAGCCAGACGCTCGTTCTCTGCCGTCAGCTCCTGCACCACTTGCTGCTGGTCGGCTAGCTCCTGCAGAGTTGCCTGCAGCTCCTCTGACGTGCTGTGGTGGCTCTCCTCCATCTTGTGAATCTGTTCTGTTAGGCTCTGCACCGACACATCCTGCCCCTGTGCATTGGTTACCGCCCCTGCTGCAACGACTTCACCGCTTACACCACTGCTCACCGATTCTGAGCACGACGGGATCTTCTCAAACTCTGACGAGTCAGGTGACGGCGAGTCCTTGGTGATGTCAGAGCTGGAGGAGACAGAGGTTTTGAGTGGGCTGGTGGTAGAAGGGAGACTGTCTTGTTGTAGAGCTGAGGAGTTGGAGTCTGAGGGGAGGCCATTCACCAAAGGCTTGGAGGGGGAGCTGGTTCTGGAGAGCGGAGAAGCTTCCAAGCAGAGCAGCTTCTCCTTCAGCACCTGGTTCTCCTCCCTGAGCGCTGCCAGCTCTCTCTGAAACTTCCCGTTCTTCTCCCTCAGCTCCCCGACCAGAACAAGGGCCTCCGTCACCTGTCCCTGCTCTCGATCGGCAGCAGACTCTTGGCGTGAGATAGAGTTGTGTGAGGGTGAAGCCGAAGCAGTGGAGGCTTTACCTTTGCAGCGCTGCAACTCCATCCTGAGATTGCTGATCTCTAAGTCTTTAGCCTTGGCCTCGGCCAGCAGCTCTTTCACCTGGCACTCCAGAAGGCCTTTTTCTTGGCCCTCTAAATCTCCACGGGCCTTGGTCGTACTACGCGTCTGCTTTGCCAGGGTGGAGAGGCTGGAAGTACTGGCACTGGAAACCATCCTCTTATTGGAGGAGCTCCTCAGCTGGTCCCTCAGAGAGATGCGATCTCTTGTTATGGTGGAGGGGATTTCTCTCGGGGCTGGGATACCGGACTTCTTGGTTGCTTGAGCACCTGCAACACAAACCAAAACAAAAGGACATATTGAGACAGTGTTCAAGTCGTTATGTGATCAAATCAGAATTTACCTCCATCAATTCACAAAGCAGCTGATTGAGTTACCTGGTTTTATAACTGTAAATAAAACATGAAAAAGGTCTTTATCACTGTGTCAGCTGCTGAGCCACTGACTGATGCCTTTTTTGCAGCTTAAGTGAGTTAAAGTTAAAATCTTGAAACCTTGTTTGTAAGTTTAAATAATAAATGTAACATACATTCACCACTGAGTGATTGTAAATGGAAAAAAATCTACATTATTCATCTACAGTTACATAAAAAGCAAATATTGCTCTAACACAGGAACAGGAACAACACATACATTTAGTACGTATAAGGTTTATGTCTATAATATGCTCATTGTGTTTAGACCAGTCGGTGTGAATGATCACATCAGACACACATTTAATTCTAGAGTGAAATAATTTCAGATAAAGAAACGTAAAGATCCACTGGGACTGTGACTGGTTACCAGCAGCGATTCGACACAGACTCCAGTTCACAGTCAGCACACTCTTTACTGTAGAAACTCAAGTTCCAACGATAATTTTTCTTACAGTAGAAAGACTGTACGACTTAACACTGACAGGGAAGGTAATGGAATCAGCATTCAGACGTGCTGGGACCACGAATTTGTTAACACTGTGTAATGACACTAACTGAATAGACGGCGTGTCACATTCAGACACTTGTATTATTCAGCAGTTTCATGTTGCTGGTCACTGTACCCTATTCACATATTCTCTGTTTGGACAACAGAGCATGTGCCTGGCACTGTCTGTCTGTTGCTGTCTGTGGTCATTCATTGTCGCAGCGGAGCTTAACTGTGGCATTTCAAAAGGCATCAGCGTGGGCCGCGGCCGCCAGCCTTTTCCAGACCCCTCTCAAATATGAAGAGTATTGACTGATGCCTGGCGTGAGCTGGGTGCCGCCTGAAAACGCTTTTTTGTTTGTTTTCAGATCATCAGCAAACAGGGATGCCGACACAAGGGGGTTGCTTGTTTCAAAGGATGACAAAGGTCCCTGTGCATGAGGCGCATCCACACACAAAGCAGCTTAAGCAGCGCACGGACAAAGACGGCACTGTGTCTCTCACATGCATACATCATAATCAAACCCACAGAGCAGAGGCTAGACAGACAGCCTGTGTGAGGAGATAGACACTCATCACCCTCAGCAACATGTGCGAACACACATGCACACACATGCACGCGCGCACACACACACACACACACACACACACACACACACACAAACAAATGGCCTAGTTTGGAATGGAAATCCTATATCCCTGTGGGTTCTTTAAGTACTCTGCCATTGATAGGCACTTTGCAGAGACGATCCCCTTATTGAATAAACTGGCGACTGTGGGAGAAGCTGCCAACACTGGCACAATTTCTTGGGCAACAAAGCCGTTTAACATTCCCAGAGTGTGCAGCTGTGGTTGAGAAAGTGAGGTGCTCTAAGTATAGAGAGGTAAAGACACATCGCTGGTGTAAATGTAACGTCGTGAATCTACAGATTTAAAAGGAAACCCAGTTCAACGTTATAATCATCAACCAAAACACAAGATTTAGAAGAAAATCAGGGGCTATAAAAATGAAGAATCAGACGCTCGGCTCCATCAGCTCTGAATGTCACTGAGATTAGACTCTCGGTTAAAAGCCCCTCTTTAAAAGGAAGTCCAGCCTGCTTGGATTGAACGGACGCTGCCATTGAAATTCACATTAAAAGAAGGAAGCACTTCATCCCAATCAGATGAATTTGTCACTGGACAAGCCTGCACTTCACAAGGATCCAGAGTGCCATTAAAAATCTACAGTCACTTTTCTCTGCACTTCACAGAGGATGAATCCATGACTGACAGAATGGGGACAGCGTGCACTCCTAAATTATGTACCGTCACATGCAAGATGTTAACACCAAATCAGCACTGTGTGTTATACAGGATTATTTAGGATGCACTACAGGAAGCATCATCCAGACAGTGCAGGAGAAGAAAGAAACACAGAACAGCTGATGTCTGTTCTATGGCCACTTGTCATATTCTCATTAAAGGTGGCAATAAAGAAAGGGACAATAGGTCCTTGTTAGGAAGAGAAAGGAGTCCAGTGTGATTAAGATCAGTCCATTCCCATGAGGATGAGTGATGCCAGCACTGAGACTGTGGGACAGGCTTTTCATTTGCTGTTACTTCATATTCTGTTTTCCTCTCGCTCTTAGTGAATAAAACCCAGATGGAGAACATGAACTCACTCATCTTTAGATCGCCCACCTCTTTAACCATGACATCACCACAGCTGCTTAATGTGCACGGAGAAATGACACCAGACAAGATGCCAGAAGTCAGCACATGCAAGACAGCAGGATCCTGAAGAGCCACTAGAAGTAGAGTGTCAGATGGTTGGAGAAGCAGAGTTGGCTGTGTGTTAGACTGTATCTCAACTTCTATACATCACTGCAGAGTGTGCACTACTGTTTCTTTCTAATCCAAAACCGCTGTTTTCCATCTTTATACCTGGATGCATTTTAGTGGCACGAATGCAGGAACAGAACAGGTTGAACTTTCTAAAGGTGATTAAGAGTTTGTTTTTTTCAACTCTGTGATTCTATTGGTGACGTTGTGAAGTAGTGTGGGATCATGGGAGTTGGTGTCTGCAGCACCATCACTGCAGTCAGCTTCTCCCAGTTTGGATTCAATCAGTGTCAATCATTCAGGAGGTTTTTAAACCAATTAATGAGACAGATTCACGTTAAAAATAAGTGTTTCTCCGGCACGGTTCGAACACAGGACGTCTCCGAGGGGCCGAGCTGCTGCTGATAACTTAAAGATTCAGACGTCCAATGACTGAAATCCTTCATCCAGTTAAATTAAATAGTTAAAAGCAACCATGATGTAAAAAGTGTACCCTAAAAATGTGGCTTAAAACTGGATGAAAAGTTTTTGACTGCTTCTGGCAGACAACCACAACGGGCAGCTGTGGCTCAGGAGGACGAGTGGGTCGTCCACTAATCAGAAGGTCAGTCGTTTGACCCCCCCCCCCCATATAAGTGCAGTTCATTTACCGTTTAACACTGATACATACGCAAAGGTGATATGACGCCATTGACACAATGACAGCGATGAGACGAACCCTGACCGCGATTAAAAGTATGGATTTCTCCAGGTTTGCTGGAAATGCAACTCAACACCCATTTAACACCCATTTAACACAGGTCCGTTCGTTTTTAGACATTTTAATGTGGAAAAGTTACAGATTACTTTAATTTAACTTTAAGTGACTCCCAGAAATGAAGATTATAAAAACGCCATTACCACAAAGACCTCCATGAAAATGAGGTGATGTGTCTCCAGGTCTTTATCCTCAGATTAAATTTCAAATATATATATGTAATATTGGCCATAAAAACAATATTAGAGCTGATATTTGCCACCACTGACAAGTGCATCTATGTGTCTTCACACAGCCTGTTTCCAAGAACAACACAGCAGCTGCAGAGTATTTATTACTTAAATTTTCACATCATCAAATGCCCACTACTCTGCCAGACACAGTGCCAGCGAAAGGCATGGCTGCGCCAGGAGAGAGGGCCCAGATTAGATCCTACTTCATTTGCCAGTAAGAGGGTGGGAGGAGGAAGCAAATAGACTCCTGACACCTGAAGTTGCCAGTTTTTGTCTGAACATGTTTGGTACTCTTTAAAAAAAACAACTCTCTTTAATCTGTTTGACAATTGTTTGAACAATCTCAAATGGACACTGATGGTGGATTAAAGAGGAGAGAGTGAGGGAAGCTTTTCCCTTATTCAGGCACTTTGGTCGGGATGCCCCTGAAGGAGACACTTAATCTCCAAAAGCTGTAGCAGCGCAACAATAAAAGACTCCCAGGAGAGAATGTGGAGAAGATTAATGATGAAAACCAAATATACAGCAGACAAAAAAATAAAAGTTACTAATGAAATGTCCACCTTATCACAAAATTCACACATTAAGTTACAGTCCAATAGTTCAGCCAAAACACTATTAGTGGGTGTGAAAATGTTGTAAAGCGAGAGAAAACATAATGAACTGTGTGGTAATAACCGGGAAACAAAGCATCTTGAAATTGCTTCAGTTATAATGAATTGAAATTTGTTCTGTTCAACACAAGAGCTGCTTTTCTTAATCATCTTTGCAGAGAATGATTTCTACTGTTGCTGCACAGGCGTAAATCTTTCTTTCACAAATCAAAGAAAAAAGAAAGAAAAATATCCAAGAGTTAGTTCAGTCTTAATTTAGTGCCGACTTCGATGTAGGCCGGCTCAGGTCCAGGACCATTTATAGCTACCCCTGAGACGCACTAAATCTGTGAAAAGGAGTGGAATGGGCAGTTAAACGGCTCACTGAGGAGCTTTCCTCCTGCAGCAAGGAATAAATCCTCATGCAGCCTGAGAGGAGCAGATACTGTGAAACACCAGCTTTGGAGAAAGAGAAGAAAGTCATCTCCAGTGAAAGAGAATATTATTTTTCTATCTAGTGTCTCAGGAACTGTTCTACAATCCATCTTCTCAAATAATAAAGAAAACTCATCGATATATTGATTGAAGAAAACTTTTTTAACATGATGTAAATACATCCTTCATATGAAGACTTGCTGCCAAGTTTAATAACCCTGATTGAGGAGACTGAGTGTATGAAATGATTGTGTTGTTTACATTAACTAATCATCTAATTGAATTACACAGACCGACTTCCAGTAATCCAAAGGCATTCAGTTATTTCGTGGGAAGTCAGCTCCCTGATCACAGTAATGCACTGTGCTGGCTTCCTTCTTTTCTAATGAAGATAAGCTTTCAAATCACAGCAGGAGCCATGTAGCTGGACACGGTCCAGCACCGGCCCGTTAACTGCAGCCGGCCTGCCAGCCGGCCGAGAGGTGACAGAGTGCGTTGTGAGCAAAGTGCGCAGAGTCTTCAAT